TTATCTTCACACGCAAACACCGTGTTAAAATTAGCTTTTGGCCTAAAATCAGATAGGAAGCAAACTGGAGACCAAAATACTGATGTACGGAGCTTCCTGGTACAAAATGATTGTAGAATTCCTGTAGAAAATTCAAAATCAAGGGGGTATACTGTCCAATTTGGGCAAAATCAGTGGGTTTTTATCTTCACACGCAAACACCGTGTTAAAATTAGCTTTTTACCTAAAATCAGCTTACTGGATAGAAACACACACTATGAGCAACAGCATGCACTGAGACCTCCAGAACAGCACTGGTTCCGGGAGTAGTGGGAACAGCAGCATTCCTTGAGTAGTGTAAATAGAGATGCAGTGGCATCTTTTCTTGACAGAGAGCATCTGCACTGTGTTGTTGAGGCTGTCCATGCTGCTCGGCCGTACAGCTCGGCCGTGCAACTAGAAATAATGAACATCATAATCGAGCCCATCGGCAAAGACTGTGGCCCCAGAAAGAAACTTGAGCTGTGTAATCACAGCAACTGCATGGAAACACTGGCCGTGTCTATCCATCATAGTCTCCCTGTTAGGCTTCATGTGCCTGAAGTGCGTCGTTAGTACATTGAACTGTTTCAATCTACTATTCATAGCTTCCTGCTGGGCCCGTGCATTTGATTTCATCTTTCTTTTCTCACTAGTGATCCCCATGGATGGATGCTTTAGTCGCTTGTCTCCCCCATAGCCCCGGTCTGCTTCCACAGCTTCCTSTTGAAAGAGTAATGCGCCCAGTCCTTCCTCAAATATAGTATTATCATTCACGCTTGCCTTGAAGGGACCATTTATCMAAACAATRTAKCCTGTCTTCAAGCAAACAGCTACTTCATACTTCACGCCTGGCCCATTKCACTTCTTTGAATACATGTCTGGAGAGAAAGGCCAAGGCTCAAAGACAGGACAGTCTGTTCCATCGACGCTTATGAAGCAGTTGGTCCTCGCTACTCCATTCAGTCYGTCAAACCTATTCTCAAGACTGATCAGGTCCTCAGACAGCTCAGCAATCTTCTTCACAAAATACCAGGACCACTTTGAAAATGTCTTGGCTGAAGGCCATCCCACAAGAGCACAGTGGGTCTCTACGGTTGAATAGACCTTAAGATGAATGAGAGCCCAAAGCAGATGCTTTGGTTGAGCAACAGCTTCAATTGGACCCCGAGCTACTATTCTGTTCCAGATATTTGCTACTATTTCACTCGGGGCTCCAAAGCAAGATCTGAACCTCATGTCCTTGTCCTTGGCATTCCATTTCCTCCTTTTGGGCCACTGAAGGACCTCTTTAGCAACTAGTTCAATACCTTCTTTGGTTAGTACCATGTTGTTATCGTTGTCGAAAGTTATCGTTGTCGAAAAAAGACAAGCTACACTAAACACACTAATTTCATATTTCTAATGGGTCATGCTGCAGTTCAAGGAATGTTCAATCGACAATGGAACAG